GTTTAGGAATCATTTCTACATATCAGCAACCTACATACCATTTCCAGTAGCACAACCAAAATCTCTGAATTTTTTTATGCACAATGAAAAAAAAACTCATGTTCACACACAAGGGAAATACCATAATAAAAAAATAAAAAACTAACACAAGTATCTTCACTTGTTTTCAATGAAACTTGTTTTTAGTTAGGATTGCTACCCAAATGCACCATTTTATATGTATAATATATATGAATTTTGGATGTGCCATTTATCTAGCAAAAAAAAAAATATTAATTATAATTATCTCCCTTGTTATTCGATTGCTTGACTATAAAACATTTTTGAATATTTTTTAATGTGCATATATCTTTTGAAGACATTTCTTTTGTAGTATTTTTTTTGTTGTTGTTGCTCTAAACCCAAACTTTTTATAGCAAAAGTTAACATGATTGAATATTTTTGTTTGCATGTACAACTCTGTAGAATTTGCAAAGACTTTGGTTTGCATGATGCTAATGTAATTCTTTGCATCATCATTCACAGATGAAAGTTTGCTATCTTTGGCCAGACGTTTGAGAAGTTGTTTTCTTTGTAGGTAGGAGGTAGCCAGGGCTGGGGAGTAGGGGATGAAATATTTTTGAGCTTATGGAGCTCATATACAATTTACTTAATCTGATAGAACAAACAATACGCTCATTGTTAAAAGTTTATTTATTTAGGATTGTTACATTCCTCCTGTATATTTAGTGTTGATTATGTCAAGCACATTAGTATTCCTTCTGTTATGTCATGCCATGTATCAATTCATCATTGGCTCAGAAATACTGTGTATTCCTCTTTATCAATAACCCTATTTTTTTGGGGTTTTTTTTTTTTTTTTTTGATTTTATCTAGTCTCAGTTATAAACATTCATGTATAAGTATTTTATAACAACTTGATTGCTTATTTTGTGTATTATAAACAAATAAAGGAATATCAACAGATTTTTTATTTTATTTTAGATGTGATTTTTTTGCTTTGTTTTTTATCAAGTTGTCATGGAATAGTTATACTTGACTGTAAAATGCATGCTCTTCACAGTATTTAAAAACATTATTTTATGCATTAATTATATATATATATGGGAGAAAAACATAGACAAAAAGAAAAAAGTAAATGAAAGTTTAAGCATCCCTCTCTTTCATGTGCATGAACATCAGTTTAGTCTGATGAAGTCCAACATGATGAAATGCATCACATGAAAAATTTTTTCCACTTTGTCATTGATTTCTATGCTTATATATTTATATACTTATAAAATAAGCTAGAAAACTTAAAACTCTAAAAAAAAAAAAAATCTCAAAATTACAAGGCAGAGTTTTCCTATAACAATAAAATAGTATTTTAAAAAAGGAGAAATTGTCATTTGATGATTACAAGAGCATGAAATTCTGAGTCATTGTAGGTTGAAGCACTTTGACCAAAACACTATTTTATTGTTTAAAAGTCCATTCCTTTCTTTAGAAATATATATAATGTTCAATGTTGCAACAATCTGAAATAATAAACTTTATACAATGAGTGAAAACAAAATCTACTTTACTCCAGAGTAGTATAGAAAAAAACATTTTATAGTACAGAATACTATACAAAACATTCTATACTGACTTATAAGATGAATATTATAATATTTATTCATTAATTTATTAAAATTGATACCATCTTATAAAGTGACTCATAAACTGTTATTATTTATAATAAATTTAGTATGTTGACTTTCTGGAATTGTATAACAATCAGAGATGGTCATACAATGTGTATAAGTTTAAACAATTTAAAAAAAAATCACAAAGATGGTTTCCGTAGTTAAGATAAATTAATGAATAATTTTATATTTTCAAGGCTTTAAAAAATAAAATAAAGATTTAGGAAAAAATGACCATTTCCCCTCAGACTTTTAAATGTTTGGGAGATAAATTATTTGTCATATGTGGTTGGTTGAAATTAATTCCAATATTTTTGCTGTTTTTTTTTTTTTTGTTTTTTTTACACACAGCAAATATGAGGAAATTAGTCTAAACCATCTCCATAATAATGATTAAAATATTTACTTTAATATTATAAATGACAGATATGTTATTTTTGGATATATTTTTAGTCTCTTGCTTATTGAAATTACAACAAAGTTTAACATATATACCTGCAAAAAAAACAGCAAAAGGTCTGTCAAAAGGATGTTTTTTTTCTTTTGACACTGCTATTACTGTGTACTCTTTTGGCAATTTTATTGTTTTAAAAAGCTATTTGCAGAATTTCAATAAAAGCCAAACATCTGAAACTGGATTTATACATTTTCTATTTTCTTGAAAATTGACAAAAAATTTAAAAAGAAATAGTTTCCAATTTTACATTGAATGCCTAATAATGTCGAGGTAAACTCCCCTTGGAAAATTAAGAAATAACCTCCAATATAAAATACTCTGAGAAGAGAATGTATAATGTTTGGAAAATTCATTTCTTTCAAAATTTGTGATTTGTTGTGGTTATTTAAATTATCTTGTTTGCTTGTTCATAGGTATTTTTATAAATTTATGAATAAAAAAAATATTGTTTTTATAGTTTCTTCTTTATAATATGTTAAATAATGAATATTGCATCGGAGTTGGTTCTTGTATTTTTATAATCTTAAATAGTATCTTAACAATTTTGTTGTTAATTCTTAAAAAAGAAAATCTATAAATCGTGTTTCATATGTTTGGGTTTTATTAAAATCCTAAAAATAGTTTTTTAAAACAATAACAATTGCAGGTATGCTGTAATGGTGATATCAAGAAAAAATTCCTTTTGACACACTGTTTTTTTTGTGGTTACATTTGTTAAACTTTGCAAAAATTACCATCTTGATAAATTTTTAAAAGGCTGAATATTTCAGTATGAGAGTTTTTAAGCTGGAAATAATGCAAATGTGTCGCTCAAGTTGATATTGGGTTTTGTATTGTTATATATCACACTGTGTGATTTATCTTCCCTTAATAAATAATTATTTGATGTATTTGATGATCCTTTCCACTGAAAAAATAAATATCTCCTTGATTTTTGATTCAAAGTTAAAGCATCTGGTAGATTAATGTTTACCCATTTACACTATGCCTTGCCTAACTCCAGAATCTATTTTATAATATATAAAAACACAAAATATATGATAAAAGGAAACATTACTTGATGCCAATAAACAAACATGCTTCGTGTTATCATAACAAAAATATTTTAAGTTGGGTAGATAATGTGACTAATAATATTTTACTTTTTGTTTCATGTTAGCTTTCTTTGAATATTTTTACTTTTAATAAGGCTTATGGCCATATCACGTTGAAACACTGGTTCTTGCACAATCACCGGTTAAGCAATGTCAAGCCTGGTCAGTACCTAGATGGGTGACTGCTGGGGAATACCTGATGTAATCTTAAATGTGGGGGTGATGTAATGGATAATGGCTTGGAACTGGAAATCAGAGCGCTGAGTTCCAATTCCAGTTGGGTTCATTATATTCGCTTATGTGCAAATACTCTTAAGAAAATATGAATCCACCACTTTGCACCCCAGCTATGGGTTAATTAGTAGAACTTGTCTCAGTAAATCATTATTATCCCCCAAAAATACAATGTAAAAATATTTTTTGGCTTTAAATAACCTATAAAAATTGATAAGCTGTAAAAAAACAAATCAATCTTTTAATAAAAAGAAATATTCAATATAAAATTATATATGTTAATAAATAGAAATATTCAATAAAGTTGATTGTTTAGATAAAAATCATACATTACTGATGCTGAAAATATAATCAATTGCAAAATTAGTTAAATATTGCTGTCATTTTTCTGACATAAGTAAATTAATATTGTTGTATTAAAATGGTGTGGTAGTGATGTCTTATATGCCATCAAATACGGTACCTTATTTTTCCCAGGTGCAACACACATTCCTTTTTTAAAGAGAAAGTTTAAAGTAAAACCTTGAATAGACTACTGGCATATAATGTAAGAGAGTGCATTTCTAAACTTGAGACTTGTGTTCTGTCCAGAGGAAATCACTAAAATATTTAGAATATTTCAGTACTTATGAATTTTAGGATCATATTTGAAAACAACAAAAACAGGCAGTTGCATCAAAATGCACTTACCTCCCTTATCAGCTTTGACAGGGATCCAAAGAATACTTTGAAAAGTAAAATAACTTGAGTTTAGTTGCTTAAAATAGATTTATCTTAGAAACTAATTAGATATGAAATGGTGCTAAACAGATTCCAGGGATTAAAAAAATATCCTGATGTTTGGTCAGATTTTGCAAGCAGAGAACTTTTTACCATCTTATAGATTTAGATGAGGATATGTGTTGGGAAAGGGAACTGATCCCTTTTTGGATCTAGAAAGAATTTAACATTTGTGAGCATTTGCATTTTCCAGCCAATATTTGAAGATTTAATATTGAAAATTTATTTTTTATTAAATTTATTGATTATTAAAATGTTTTCCAGATGGTATATAAAAGAAGGCTATTTTTTTTTTAATATTCAAGTAATATTTTTATCAAATAATTACAATTTCAAATTGGGAAAAATTCTTTGTTTGATTTGAACTTAAGAAAAAATATTTCTAAGTTAAAGTATTTTTAAAGAAAAATATCTTTAATATGAAAGAAGCATTTTTGGATTAAATGTTTTTTATAGATGGAAAAAGATATTTTTCTGTTGAAAATATTTCAAATTTTATAAAACTATTTCATAATGAAATCAAATCAAATTGAATGTTTGTGCACACACACAACAAAAACAAACAAACAAACAAACATACATACATATATATATATATATATATATATATATATATATATATATATGAATGAAGAAGAGTGGAAAAGTCCTAAAATTATACTAAAAGACATTACTAACTCACCTGCACCAGTTTCAGAAGCTTTACACTGGGCCACAATGGTATAACACCAAGGGTTGATCACAATCATTTCTCTTGTGAACTTTCAGATTTTATATCCCAAACCTTGAGGATAATGAGTGAGTTCCTGCTTCATTTGGTTTTCTTTTTTTTTTTCTTCTTCAAATTCAGATTTTTTTTTTCTTACCAAAATGGCTACCCAATGTCATGTCTCTGTCTCTGCATGTTTTTGACAATCCTTTTTTGCTTTCTCCCTCGCTGTTTTTTCTTCTGCACTTTATTGCTTTCATCTTGCAATCTGCATGTGATTTTTTTTTTTTTTTTTTTAAATTCCATCTTCTGCACTTGTTCATCATTAACATAATTTGTTCACCTGTTCATATGCCTGTTTTTCAGCCCTTCACTTGTATTCAAAATTACTGATTTCAGCCATCTTAACAGAACTATAGTACAAGTCTATTGTATACTATTTAACATATTGCATTCTAATAATGCGGTAGTACTTTTTTTTTTGTTATTTCATATCAACAGGCTCATATTTCTTAGAGATTTTACTACAATTAAAATGAGAATTTCCCCAAACCTTGTCCATCAGAGAACTTGAAATTATAAATGGTCCAAGTAATTCTGAAAAACTTACTTGTCTATAATAAAGATATTTTAAAGTCAAAACAAAAATCACTTTTTCCTTGTTGATTACCTTTGAGAAAGTTTTTTACTTTTACTTTCATGTGAATTTTTCATAGAGCAATTTTCCTTCCTCTCCCTTTAGATAATAATTAATCCTTACACCAATAAAGAAACATCATTTGTTATAGACAATATTTTCTTTTCCAGGAAATTAGTAAGATTATTTTACCTGTCTCTGGTAAAAAATACCCCTTCTTTTTTTTTTTTTTTTTTTTTTTTTTTCCTCTCCTGTATGCTGGTAGGATTAATCTCCATAAGCTTCAATCATGTCAAAAATGATAATAGAGATAGCAGCCATTTTGCTACATCTGCCTGGGCTGATGAATTAAATATTAGTGAGGGATTGCCCATGTACTTATTTTTTTTTTTTCTCTCTATCATGTGTCTCTTTTCATATGAGTATTATACCTGAAGGAAGGTGTAGAATGGATTATCTAGGGAGGAAGTGTTAATCTCTTTCACTATGAAAAAGCATAGTGAAAAAAAAAAAAAAAAAAAAATTTGTTTCCAAATAGGAATTACCTGTTTCTTCTTATATCCTCTTTATTTGGGATGTATAAGTTTTTTGTTTTTTTTTGTCTTAAAAGCAGAATTTTCTTTTTGAATCTTTATCGCAATATTTTAAATTATTAAAGAGATCATTTTTAAATAAGTAAGCAAAAATAGAAATTATGAAAAACATTTTATTTCTCATTGTTGTCTAAAATAAATACCCAGTTCATTAAAATTCTAAATTGCAAAAATTCTCTTCACAAATATGTCCAAGAATATTAACTAGGATAAGATAAGAGAGGTGCTAAAAAGTTCTCAGTCTGAACAAGAAGTCTTTCTAAAAAATATGTTTGTATATTTGGTTACATTTTGGAAAGTGGTTCATGCTAAGAATTGTTCAGTACCACCTTGTGTATATATAAAATAATTTAATTAGAACTGTTTAAAATTATAATTATACATATAATATCTACATGTATAATTATTTTAATCATTTTAAAATGGCTGATAAGATATGACATGAGAAATTTATTTAATTTCTGGAGCAACTGTTTAAAATTTTGCCTTGTTGTTCAGAAATTTAAAGTTTTTGTTGAAAAGCAAAAAAAAAAAAAAGTTAATCACTTGTAACTGGAATTTTTTGTGTGGAAACATCTCAATGAAATATCTTATCCACTTCCACTAATGAAGAAGTTTATCTACAGATAACTCACCATCAAATAGTTAAAGTCATTTGTAATTATTTATATTCAAAGTTTCAATAAATTTTAAAATAGATTTACAAATTCTATAATTTTTTTTATTCTGTTTGAATTTTAGCATGCTTATTTCTGTCTATATTTCTTGTGACAAAAAATTCCTCTAATACCAAAACATATACACAAAAACCACTTTTTTTCTTAATATTTTGTTTGCAAGGTAATCTCTTGTTGATAATTTTTAAGTATTAATGTCCAGTTTTCTTGTGGAAATGGTTGTAAGTTCTCGTATTTGATTTAGTGCCATCAGTTTATTTTGATATATTTTTCAATGTTGTTATGCACTAAATTTTGAAAAATTCTTTTACTTTTTCATGTTTGTTACACTTGAAAAATGTTTAATTGGTTCTACTTTGGCTTGTTTACTTTTAAAATTATGTAGAATTTCTATTCGATAGAAACTGCATTCCTTGGTTTGGAAAATTTACTTTGTTATTTAAATTTTAGTTAAGAATCAGAAATAAAAAGCATTCAAAAATAATATACACTTGAAATGTTTTTTGTTTTTTTAATACAACTATTTTGAAATTTATATTAAAAATTGACTTAGATGAGAAATGAATGAACAGAATTTTGTATCTGTATATATTTTTGAGATGAGGTATTGTAACTATTTACACTATTTACTTTGTTCGGACTGTTGTCCTCATCTTTATTGTCATATTCATAGTGTTTTGGCCATTGTATGCTCCAGCCTTCTTCAGGTGATATACATAGATCAGTGGATAAAAGTGTTGGTTGAAGTAATCAAGTGTTTGGACCTAAAGAGTTGTGGGTTCAATATCTGTCCACAGCAGAAGTGAACAAAAACTTGGAGTTGAGTTACTAAAGAGAAATAACTGAACCTGAGATATGCAGAAAAGGCATGGCATGTGGAACTAGAACAATCTACCCTGGTGGGTGAAATAAAGAGTTCAGTTTGAAATGCCAACCTATATTACTTGAAGAAGGCCAGAGTGTACAACAACTGAAATATTGTGAAAATGACAATAAAGATGAGGACAACAGTCTGAACAATGTAAATAGAATTTTGTATACCTTTTAAAAATAGTGAAACACTATATCTTCTGTTTTATTTATTTGTTTTTTAAGAGCTTTCAATCATTATTTCTACAAATAACTGTTATTGCTTTTCATTTTGTGTCAAAGCAAATTCTGTGTTATATAACACTTTGAAAGGGGTGGGGTCATCTATTATGGTATCATTGTAAGATTGTCTTTAAAGTTAATTTACAAGTTTTGTGAATTCAATCCTTATGGGTGCCCCATATATGTGACCTTGTTAGTTACTAAGCTAAGCAATAGATGTATGACCACTTGGGAATACCAGGTGCTGTAAGCTTTGATGTGTGGGTGGTGTAATGGATAATGGCTTCGAATTGTTAATTGGAGGGCCAAGTTCCAATTCCCATTGGGTTCGTTATATTCACTTATGTGCAAATACCCTTTGGAAATGTATGAATCCATCTATTCTCCCCAGCTATGGGTTAATTAATAAGACTTGTATCACTAAACCATTATCTCCAAAAAAAAAAAAAAAAATGAAATTGCAATCTAAAAATATTTTCGGGCTTTATATAACCTGCACTGAGTTAATAAGTCAGAAACTGAATTAATCATGGAGCCAGTTGAAAAAAAATGTTATCTGATAACAATCAGATAACAGGCTAATCACCATATGTGTCTATTTTTGTCCATCTACCTGTAATTTGCACAACTGAAGAGAATGACTAGAACTATAACCACTAAATTTACTATTGTTAATAATGGAACCCCAGAGCATGTCAGTTTTTGACCATTCTAATGGGAAGATTGGTTTACAATATTTATATAATATTAAACTGAGCTGTTAAGTTAACTAAGACAATCCATAATTTTGTTTATAACTATATTTGAGTAGACACCCTTTGAAATGGTATGAATTACATCTACTGGCCTGTGCATTTGAGTGACAAAGAAAATCTTTCAGGATTGTGATGCTCTCTTTGGCTGAGTGGTCTAAAGCCTACCATATCAGATGGGGGTTTCTCCTACTAAGGAGGGAGCAGGTTTGTACCCTGCTGGAGAGCATATTTTCTTTATTATGTCTCTCAAATGTGCAGACTGGTGGATGTTAATTCATGCTGTTTAAAAAAAAAAAAAAAAAAGTACAAAGACAAAAACAGGGCATCTGTCCCACAAAATAATATTTGGAGTAATAGGAACTAATTTTAGATAAAAAAAAAAATCCGTTGATTTCTTAGAAATTATATTGTTTCACTGTATAAAGGGTGTAGTTTTTGATGCTTGTGTTTTTCAGATGAGGTATAATTCAATAAATAAATAGTTCAAATTCATGATCTCTTATTGGGACCAAGTACCCAATTTAGACCTTCTGTAGGAATTTCCTTAAATTTTTTTTTTCCAGTAGAGCAGTTTTTCGGCCAATGTACAAAATAAACTGACTCTAGCAAATGAATCCAAATGACCTTAATCTCTCGGTGAATCCAGGTCACTCTGACTTGACTTTGCTCTTCAGTATTTGATAAGTAAACAAAGAAAAATTCTTGATATCTGATATTTTCAAATATATTTTCAAAATCCATTTTCATTAATATATTTTGAAATAGCAACAGTGCAGATGTGTGAATTTCTTTCATTGTACTTTTTTAATATTTTCTTTCTTATTCCATTGTTAATTTTGTAGCTTCTTTACAAGGTGCAAATTTTGTGTTTCATACTCAAAAATTTATTAATTTTTTTCTTAATTTGAAAATTTGTGTATTTACCTTTTGCATTTTGGCAACTAACAAACTAACAAATTAAGGTTTGCTTGCGAACTTTAGCCTTTTTATCTGATGGGAAAATTATTTTCAGTATTTCTTTGTGTGTTTTATAAAGAACTGGGCTGCTCAACTGCTAAGTAACATGCTGCTGTGCATTTGCTGCTATTATTATTATTATTTTATTTCAGATGCAATATTTCTATTCTATCATAGAAGAGTAATTTATTTGGATGTCAGCATGCTGTAAAATGGCTTTTTTTCTTATTTAAAAGAATAAGTTTAAACATTATAATTTCTTTTCTGGTTGTGCATTAGAGTCGGTTTAGAATTGTGTTTGAAAGAATCTGCTGTGGGTATGTGTTGAAAAGCCTCAGTTAAAATTGTAAATAGTCTATAAAAAGGTTGAATTTGAGT